CGTATCCCCTAAGGTCATGAAGCGGCCTAATCCTGTCCGTATGGTCAGTTGATTCAGAGCAAGGACCGTGGAAGACGTAAATGCTCCATATAAAGTAAGCCCAGGGCTGTCAAGTGGCTAATCGCCCGGGCGTCTCGATCTTCGTTGAAGACCCGCGATCGACCGCCCATGCTCAGTGATAGTGGACTGTGCAGGAAATATTTATGCTAGTGTAATTCCAGTGATGCATCCGATTTACGAAATGTTATGCACATTATGGCATTGTTTATTGGACGTGACTTATGTGGCACTGAGATTGATGGAGAACATGCTGGTCACTTCCGTCTGTCCAAATGCCTCCTTCGCGTCGCTGGCGTTCTTCGGTGCGGGCGCAAACTGCACTACGATTCGGTCGTCCTTTGGTGGGCCGTTCTGAAACCGACGATATGAACAACCGCACGGAGTGTTCCACCAATGGCGAGTGGCAGCCGCTCATTGGACACCACAAGTGCGCAGCCAATAGGCAGCTGTTGCCCCGCCCACTAATGCAGAGACCTGAACTCACCAATCGAGTCACTTCAATGCTTGCGTTTCCAGCCGGGTCGACGAATCCGAAGACAGGACGAACACGATACTCGTCATTGTTAGTGCTGCGAATCTTGAAGATCATCCTCTGATTCGTGTTATTGGTGAGTTGATGAGTGGATTTGCCTCCAGCAGCTGGTACTGCGGCCTCCAATGGCTCGACCGTTAGTGGCATGCTTGCGGCGAAGTGAACATCACCCCCATGTCGGCCGCTTTTATAGTGCCAACTACAGATAAGCAGTATCACTGATTCATTGTTCACACGATCAGAGATCTGTTGTTCTTTCGAACAGAAGTCACGATTGCTTCATCTTCATCGAAGGGGCGGTTGTCGCGCAGTGGCAGTGATGCCACCCTAAAGCACGACAGTGCGGGTACCGCACAATGGATCGAACCCCGCTCCAGTCAATCAAACCCTCTGTCTCTCCCAGGTCGTTTGATTTGCATCAGACTCCGTCAGGGAGTTTGAACAAGAATCCACTTCGGCTGGCTTAGTCCCCCCATGCCTCCCCATTCCTCGAGGGCACAATTAGGCGCAACAGGAATAAGCAGATTCAAGTGCTCTTGGAGGATTTGGGGACATTACGATAGCAGAGCATCCAAAATGCGGATATCCTTCTAAGAGTCAGGCGTAGGAGGAGACTTCAAGGTGTGCGAGCATTTCACTTTCCCCAGAGTCCCTGCCTACTCCTGGACTTGTCCTGTGAGATGCCTTGTAATTGCGACAGCGTCTACTTTCATACTAGCTCCGTTTCTGTTGCGCTACTCGGAGGTTCCTTTTTCACAGCGCCTTCCCGACCACACCGCAAGAAAGTGGTGCAAGCGCGATATTTTTTCACTGCGTCGATGAGTTAAATGAATGTGGCAAGGCACAAGGCAGGCATAAGAGCGCGAAATTTTATTCGCGTCGGCCCGAGTTAATTTTAAAATCCTTCCTTTTTAATGTCTACATTTTCAGGAGATCATGGTGATTCTTGCGAGTGGTAGTAAAGCTATGAAATTTCCGGACACATATGCTTTTTAGGGCCAGCTGACCGTAGTCTGAGGTTATATGTCATTTTCCCATATCTTGTTTCGCGTGTTGCGGTTCGATTAGAAGCTTTTCATGTCAAGCGGAGGGTGCTAACTTAGTTGGGGGGGGCCACGCGGCGGCGCGGCAGTCTGCTCGCCTGGCATGTTCGGAAATCCGTGGGCCAGGGGGAGTGTAGGCAGTCTAGGGGGGTGGGGGGTGGGGCAGTCACTTGACATGCGTGAAAAGCTGGAATGTTCGAGTTTACACTGTCTCGCTCGAGAGAGCCCAGGTGAGCAGACTGCCGCGCCGCCGCGTGCCCCCCCCCCCAACTAAGTTAGCACCAAAATGTATATTGTACAGAATATCGAACAGGGTGAAACCAAGAAAAACATTTTGTTTGTCCCACTTCGTTAAAGTAATTCGTTCAGAAGGATAAGGATTTTTGCCTAACTTTAAGACTAGGAAGCTTAACAATCTGTGACACTTCTGCTTTCCCTTTTATTCAACAAGCGCTCAGGAGTTTCTCGAAACGCTCAACCCAAAAAAAAGGTATCATGAAACGCATGATGAGCACTAATATCACTAAGCTTTTTTTACTCTCTCTCTATTATTTGGAAATACCGCTCATACTTATCTCTTTAACACCGCCCAATTTTTATTAATGTTGTGGCGTCGAGGTCGCCTTACGTCAAGGGACTTTTATTTTCTGTGAACCATGTGGTCTGATGCTGACGACGACTTGTTCGACGACTTCACTGACAGCGGCCCTGCCGCTGGAGGTGATGCCCCACAGGACTGTGCTGGTACGGTATACCTTCATTGTATTTGTATTAAGCTATGATGAAACGAAATAAGAGGTAGGCTAGGAAACAAACACAATATTTGCGTGCCCCTCCGACGCAGTCTTCATGGATTCTGTCTTCTACTCATTGTATGACATCTTGGTTAAGCTTAGCTACCTTAGCTTATTTGGGTCTTTATTCCATAGAACTTGAACCCTACTGTGTGACTTGTTCGTGATATTTTATCAATTTCAAGGTAGTTGAAGAATGCTTTCAGATGCTGGATCACAAAGAAGTTTTGGTGTAAAAATCACGCAGATAAACGAACTTCCGTCTGATACTCAGCCTAGAAACAGGTTCGTAAGTGGGCATTCCTAATTTCCAACAAAACAATGGTTTTCTTCATTCGCAGAGTTGTTGTCAACTATGACAATGACAATGGCGAACCAGTGGAGCCATCTAATGAATTCGAAAAGATGTTACTTCGGGAAGGAATTGAGGTGCGAAGGGACGAAAACTACCAAAAGTACATGTACATAGGTATTTTATTTCATTTGCTTCGTTTCTTTTCTAGTTTTTTTTTTGTTCGTGAAGCAAGCAACAAAGCCCAGCCGTGCAGCTACCGGTATCCATGTTTTGTCCCCAATCAATCTCAATCTTCTTGGTTGAAGTGAGTGTCCCTACCTAATGACTCGGCTCTTACAGTGGTGCGCATATTATCTAGTGTTCTCACCTTTCACGGTTGCGCTGTCTTTTAAATTAAAGCAGATGATATAATGGGCCTCTTTAACGCACGTGCAGAGCCTATTCGTGTTCGGTCCTCTTTGACAGTTACCCTTGATGGGAGCAGAATCTTTTTCCTCAATGCCTGCTTTCCCTACCCTTCGAGTGGGCTTCCTCTCTTCTCTCATCGTCAGTACACCCGAAAACCATAAATCAAAAGTAAAGGAAGAAGCACACACACAGTTGCCCTAAATAGATCCTACTTTGGTTTTGGGAATGCGTGGAGTACTACAACAAGTATGATCAGAGGTCTTATCAAGCGCTTCCATAAAATTGGAAATAGAGTCAAAAAGGAATCCTCGATTAACAAGTTAACGACATGCTTGAAACGAACGATTCCGCCGAGTACTGATTTGAGTTGATTTTTTGCCCCAAATATCTGCATTCCAGGTGATATTACTAGCGATGTGCTAGCTACAAAATTGGAATCCCACATGAATGTCCGAAGGGTGAGTTTTGGAAGGTTTTCCAAGAGATTTCTTGATGAATTGTTCATGTTTTATCCAGTATTTGGACGACTTGTTGGACGCGTTTGAGGATGCCTTGAAGCAACAGGAGAATCTAATAACTTACCTGGAACCATCACACTCGTCTGTTTATTTTTTTATTTAGTTATCAACTTCCTTTTTCTATTTCTATTTTTTCTTTCATTTTTGGCTACATTTGTTCACCTTCTCTTTGCGTTTTCCTTTCGATCTTGAGAACTGGTTTTTTTTTCTATGGCTTCTGTTTTGATTCTGAAGTATGTTCTAGTTCCTGCGGAATCCAGGAGTCAATTTTCCGAGTTCTTATACTTTGTCGCTCATCACAGGGCAAAGCATTCGATTTGTTGATGTCTCAACTGCAGAGTCTGCAAAAGTGAGAAAAGTGCTTCCGACTGCATAACTTATTCCTTCTTTACTCTGTTCTCTAGTCCAGAGCATATTTCAGGGGCAACCAAAAAGAAACACTGAATCTGTCGCACCTGTGCATTGCTCAGATGCGCTTCATCAATCGTATTTACTGCAGTCGTACTCTCTTCTGTTCGATATTTGAAAGAGATATTGAGAAGTGGTCTCCGGAGATTCGAAACTCATTAATCTCGTCAATTCCCGAGGTAGAGTACCTTTTTTTCTCTGGTTGTTAATGTTCAACAACGGGTCATTCATAATAAGATTTCTAATTATGCATAACAAATCTATGTTTTCTTGGTCAGATGCCCCATTATCTCTGATTTCAGCGAATAATTTTCGTAATTGCTATGATTTTTCCTCTCGTCTCATAATGGGATCCAACCTGAAACTTCGCAAACGTTGATGGATAATGTCTCAGTAAAGCCTCGAGCTGAAGCAGATTGAGTCCACCTTCATTCTTGCCATTGTTCAGGTCCTCACTGATGTCAGTGTACAGAAAGAAGCGGTTCGTGAGCTGCAGTCGCTTCTGCTTCGCGATATAAAAGCAGATCCGATCGGTTGCAAACTAGCAGTGATATCTGCGCTTTCTCTCTTGAATTCGGATGCTGAATCGACACTGAAGGTAGACAGCTATTAGCATTGTCAAGCGGTGGAGGTAGTTTCTAATCACTTGTAGACTTAAAGGAATCAACTTTCTCCATAGCCTTTCTAATTCTTCCGAGCATTTTTTATGTTCTTCTGTCCTACTGTGGTGCCTTCTTGTTGCAACGTTTGTGGCGACTAGAGACAGTGGAGTGAATCATTTATTAATGACCACATCTCTTATATAGTCTTCCTTATCATACTTCCTCCGATCATTCCTTGATCCTCATCATTTCTTCATCTGCACGTCCGCTTCATTCCTATCGTCCTCTGCCCTAAAACCGGTTTCCCCCTACTCCCATAACATTCCCCCGTAGTGACCACCAGGTCACTCATTATGTACCTCACCCCATCGCCTGTATACATTATTTGTTATTCAAACTTTATTTATAATGCACAACTCTACAATCACTGTGGATCATTATCTTCATCTTTTAGGGGTGCCCGTCTCTCCAAAGTTCCTTCAACCTCCACATCCCTTCGACCCTGCACGGGCTCTTCCTGACGACGGGCAATGCTCGTCGCACGACTCTCATCGTCATATCTGGGCGGTGGCCCTCTCCACCTTGCTCGTCGCACGCGCTCTCGACGCGCCCAACTATAGGACCTCGGGGTCCGCCGGCCCTGTGGGCGCGCCGGCTGAAATATGTTTTAAGTTTATTGGAACCGCTCTCATTTCGAACGAGCCACTCACCGGTTGTACAAATACCACCGTAGGTGGCGAATTGTTCGGCGGCGACATCATCGAACCCGGGAGGGGGGAGCCGAGGCACACCACCGTGGGTGTCCCCGACCCCCACCCTGGTGCCGGAACCGGAGTAGGTGCCATCACGGGCGTTGGCGGCGTCATCGAAGTTGTTGTCCACGGCAGCAGCACAATTCCGTTTGGTAGGTTCATCTGGCCAATCTTCTTTGGTCCTCGCCAACTCAAAATGAGGCTGACCTCCCTCAGCCAACCCTTTTATGCCCGTCCTTAGGCATATCATCCCTATCCATGCTATCCGCACTGCTTGTTTACCTACCCTCGATCGTTTACTCTCTACAAAATCCTTCATTTTATCAGTCATTTTCCTCTTCCTCGTCGATCTTCTCGGTGAGTCCTTCCTGCCTTTATCCACTTCTTCCCCTAACTTGGGTTCCACAGCGACCCCTGACCTTGTCTCTTTGTTCCGCCTCCTCCGAGGGTCCTCCTCCTCCCAGAAGGAAACCCTCCTCTTCAATTGGTCCGCATGTGCCAGCCTACACCCTGTACCGTAATGTACACGATACGTATTCGATCCTACCACCTCCAAAATTATTCCTGGGGTCCATTTTTCATGTCTGTCCGCATAATTGCGCACGTACACCTGCTGTCCTTCTACGAATTTCCTTTCCTGTGTCTGTCTATCGTAACGCTCTTTCATGTGTTCCATCTGGGGGGTGACTACTGGGTTACTTGGTGCTTTCCTTTAAGTCTAACGTCGTTCTTAATGATCGTCCCATCAACATTTCCGCAGGGGAGGACTTCGTGATCGGGTGCTCGGTAACCCGATATTCAAATAATAAATCTCTCACTGCCGCTTCTATCCGTTTTGCCCGATTTCTTTCCTTTATAATATCCTTTCTTAAATGTTTGCACAAATCTTTCCGCCTCTCCATTAGAATTATGATGGTAAGGCGGAATGAAAATTAACTCTATATTCCTCCTAATACAGTATTCTTTAAATTCTCTCGCTATAAACTGTGGCCCGTTATCCACCACTATCTGCTCTGGCAACCCATGGATACTGAAAATATCCTTTAACTTTTCTATTGTTTTTTCTACCGTGGTTGCCCCCATTTTCACGACTTCGGGCCACTTTGATTTTGCATCCACTATTACTAGCCATCGCTTCCCGTCACTGGTTTCCGCAAAATCCAAATGTAACCTTTGCCAGACCCCCGCAGGCGTTTCCCAGGGATGCAATGGTGTTTTTCTCATTTCATTCCCGAAGGTAGCGCAAATAGCACACGACTGTGCCACCCTCTGTATATCTTTATCAATTCCCAGGTACCACACTTTCCTCCTAGCCAACGCAGTCATGCGATTCCTTCCATAATGGCTATGGTGTAGCACTTCTAGTACCTTCCTGCGGAACTTCTTCGGGATCACCACACGACTGCCCCACATTAAACAACCTTTATAAATATTTATTTCTGTCTTTCTTTTCTCATACGGCTTCAACTCGTTCTCCTTAACCTTTTGGGGCCAACCGTGCATTACGTATTTATACACTTTACGCAATATCTCATCTTCTTGTGTCGCTTTTGCTACCTCTTGCTCATTGAATATCATGTCTTTCCATGCTTCGGCCGTCGTCATCTGCTTCTCTGCCACCTCGTTTACCACCATCTGTGGACTTGGCAACTCTCTCGGATCTGGTAATCTGGATAATCCATCTGCATTCCCAAATTCAGATGTTTTTCTGTACTCTATGTCAAATGAATATATCATTAATCGAAGACTCCAGCGATGCAATCGTTTTGCTGCAATTGTAGGTATTCCATTTTTGGGCCCAAATATCTTCACCAACGGTTGATGATCCGTCAGCAACGTAAACTTTCGGCCATACAAAAACTGATTAAATTTTTCGACTCCATACACAATCCCTAACGCTTCTTTTTCTATTTGCGAATAATTTCTCTCTTCTTTTGTCAATGTCCTCGACGCATATGCTATCACCTTTTCTTTCCCGTCCGGCATCTTATGATATACTACCGCTCCTAAACCGTATTCCGAGGCATCTGTTGCCAACACTACCGGAATCTGTGGATCATAATGTGTAAGGATGTCCGCTTCCGTTAATCGCTGTTTTATTTGTTTAACAGCATTTTTCTGTGACCTCCTCCCAGCAGAACGGCACTCCCTTTTTCCTGAGTCCATTTAAGGGCGCCGCTAATGTAGACAAATTTGGGATAAATTTGCCATAATACTGTACCATTCCTAAGAATGATTCAACTTCTTTTAAATTTTTTGGCTCAGGCATATTCAACATTGCCTGTACCTTCTTTGGGGATGGGCGTATTCCTTGCGCATCTACAATATGCCCTAAAAAAACTCCATCTGCTCCTTAAGAAATTCACATTTTTCCCGTTTTAACTTGAATCCCGCTTCTCTCAATCTTTTTAACACCTCTCCCAACCGCGCCAAATGCGCGGCGTCATCCGGAGCAGTTACTGTAATATCATCTAAATATACGATGACCCCCTCTATTCCTGCTAATGTTGTCTCCATGATCCTTTGAAATATTGCTGGAATCGAGGCTATGCCGAACGGAACTCTGTTATACACAAACATTCCTTTATGAGTATTAATTGTAGTATACTTTTTAGATTCCGGTTCTAATTCTAGTTGCATATACGCATCAGATAAATCCATTTTGGAGAATTTCTGCCCTCCATTCAACATATGAAACAAGTCATCGGGCTTCGGGAGCGGATACTGGTTGATGTCCAGCTGCGGGTTTACCGTCACCTTATAATCTCCGCACAACCTTATTTTTCCTCCTGGCTTAGGTACTACCACTAAGGGTGTAGCCCATTCCGAATGTTCCACCCTAGTCAAAGTACCATTCTCTACCAGCTCCTGTAACTTAGCCTCCACCTTCGGCCTCAATGCCAGAGGAACTGGTCTTACTCTGCAAAACTTAGGCTTTTCTAATCCTTGTTTCAACTTCAGTGACACCTTTGCCGTCGTACATTTCCCTAGTCCTTTTTGAAATAATACCTGGTTCTCTTCTAATAAATTCTTCATTTTTTCCCGTAACTGCTCTTTAGTGTAGGGCCTCTTGCCTTCCACACTTCTTACATGAGGTCCACAATCTATTTGTAGTCCCCTGATCATATCTCTGCCACACAATGGGTGGCTAGCTGTGCGTAACACATACACTTCCATTGTTATCACACGTCCCTTAAATTGTAACTCCACTGTACACCGACCCTCAAAACTGATAGGGCTATTATTGTAAGCCGTCGCTTCTAGCTTGGTCGGTCTCATTTCTGGTTTTCCTATCATCGACCACGTCGCCTCGTCAATTATTGATACAGAGGCACCGGTATCCAACTCGAAATCAACGGTACGTCCATTCACTATGATGGGAAGCATTATGGCTGGTTCTATACTCACACGTGCTTTTGAGGTAACTCTATTACTAATAATCAAAGGTTCTTCGAGCCTTCCCGTGTGCCCTGTATCGGTCCTGTTTCTTTGCGAGGAATTCTCTACATGATTCCGGCATCTCGCTGTCTGCACATTGCTAATCGTTACTTCTTGATTTCCCTCATCATCGGAATCATCTTGCTCCGCACACCAGTGTACCTGGCGGGAGAACCTGGTCGGGAATTTCCTCATCCGACACGCCTTGGGTAAGTGCCCCGGCCGTGAACACAAATTGCAGTATGCTTTACCCTTGAAGAAGCATTGATTTGCTATGTGTCCACGTCCTGCACATACCCAGCACTGTTGCGGTCCATTGGGCGGAACACGGGACCGCTTATTTACCGTTTTACTCTTACTCCTCAGAGAGCTTGGTGCTGCTTGACGAACAGAACTGCGCTCCCGTTTTTCCGCCCTCGCTCGAGAAGGGGCTTTGAACTCTCCCGACGCAATCGCTGCCACTCCTACTTCCACTACTCCCTGCTTCAAATGCGGTGCATTCTTTCCCACTCTCTCAAACGCTTCCGCCACCTCCAACACTTCTTTAGACGTCAGCTCTTCCTTCTCGAGCAGTCGCTTCCTCGTTTCTACAGAGGCTAACCCACCTATGAATACCATCGCCACCATCGTATCCCGCATATCCTTCACCTTCTCGAATCCACACGAGTTCGCAGCCTTCTGTATCTCCGCATAATATTCTTGTAAGGTCTGGCCCGTCTTCTGCGCTTTCGACATTAGCGCAAAGCGCTCCGCCATGAGCAGCTTCTTCGGCTGAAACTGCTGCTCCATTGCCTGCTTCAACTCCAACAGGGTGACCGTTTCGGGCTCCTTCCCCTGCAACAAGGATTCTAATAATTCATAATTTGAGGCACCGACCTCTTGGAGGAAGATGAGGCGTTTATCGCCCTCATCGGTTACCCTCCGTAAGGCCAAAAAATTTTGGAAAAGCCTCCACCAGGTGTTCCAGGAAGTCCCGGGCACATATGGCCCTGGACTGCGACCTCGATAAATATCGTAGGTCGCGGCTGGGTCCTGGCCAGCCGGCGAGACCTCTCGCACTCCCACTGGCCTGGTGGAGGTCCCCAAATTACCGCCTTTGATGTCGTCCATCCCTTATTATTCGCAGTTGATCAGGCTGCTGTTCTCAGGATGGCTGCCTCCTCCTGGCGGTTAACGTCCTTGTCGTTCGTGCTCACGTCGGCCTCCTTAACTCCTTGGTTATTCAGCTTCCTCCGCTACTTGTTGTGCCGGCCTCCTCGGCTTCCTGGTTTTCGGCCTCCTCGGCTTTCCGATGTTCGGCCTCCTCGGCTTTTCGGTTTTCGGCCTCCTCGGTGAGCTTGTCTCCTGATCGCCAGTTGTGCGACTAGAGACAGTGGAGTGAATCATTTATTAATGACCACATCTCTTATATAGTCTTCCTTATCATACTTCCTCCGATCATTCCTTGATCCTCATCATTTCTTCATCTGCACGTCCGCTTCATTCCTATCGTCCTCTGCCCTAAAACCGGTTTCCCCTCTACTCCTCCCATAACAGTTGCTACGTTGCTAATACCGTCGTTTAAAGTGAAAAATGTGAAGGGATTGCTGATTTTGATGATTAATGATTCCGCGTTAATCAGTCCCTTCTCAGTGTGTGCTCCTCACTTTACATCTATCAAGAATACTCATTTCGAATCAGTTTGGTCCATACATAACTTGTGGGGGCCAGGTGATGTACAAGCCACTGTTTTTGTCCTTCCCAGATAAGTTCGGTACCGATCAATCGGCCTTAGAGGGATGGAACTGGCTTGGACTGCTTAGATTTACGAACTGATCTCCGGCACCAAGCATATGATAACCAGCGTGTCGCCTTGAAGACTATGAATTTGGTGAATCGAATTTTTTCCCTGATTCCAAAGTACTGGAAGATCTGCAACGTACATGAAACTCCGCCCAACTGTTGACATGGAAAATGAATATCATACGAAAGTTTTCTAAAGTTCAGATGCAGACGAAGATTGCAAGGGCGTTAAATGACTTCGATGTTGAATTACTCCCTCCGCTGGTCGATCTTCTAATTCAACGGCTAGATGCATCCAACAAAGGAGCATTCGCCAATTTGCTCACTCACTTATCAACACATCTCAAAGTAGAAGATTTGCGCATTACCCGTAGCGGAAAACTGTGAGTTTTCTTATTTGCCCGGACCTTCCTTCAACATCCTAAATGATTCTTCAGGCGCATTACACTTGATGGTATTGTTGGGGAAATTTTTGACAAGATCTGTCAATTCGTTGTGCTTGGCGGAGAAGGGCGTTGGAGGGAAGTGCAGAGGTTCTTCAGAGGCGGAGGATCAGCTGAGAAACCGGGTGCATCGGAAGCAGCTTCTCAAGATAGCATGATCGACTCCGATTCTGGTTCGTTGCGGGTTAGTTGCCTCACTCTCTCTTGTCGTCGTGAAGAAAGCGAAAGATACTAGTAGTCTACGCATAATCTCCTAATTGGTGCTAAGGTAAACAGTGCAGCTATTCATAGACTGAAGTTCAAAATTTACGTACTAAACGTGAGTCCACACGATAGCTAAGCGAAATGTGTATTTCCTCAATTTTTTGAATAGACAGAGGTCTTCAAAGAATTGCTGCTCTTTTTCGTGCGCAAGCTTGATGATGTTTCAGGCACTCACCCTGTTCGACGTACTGCTATCTATCAGTTTGTTGGCGTTGCGCACCTGCCCGCTGAATGCAGCAAATGCCATGAGGCAACGCTTTATCGTCCCACACGACAGCATCGAATCCTTGAGTCGGCTATTCGGTGAAGCGCTGAAATTCAAATTGGTACGTGAACATTCATCTTTTTCAATTGGAAATTAGAAGAAAAATTACAATTTTCTCGCTGTGATTTTCTACTTTGAGTTCGCATATTGTATAAAAAAAATTGCCATGAAAATTTGAAAATGTTTTTCGCGAAGAAGTGGTTTTTCTTCCGTCAACTGGAGTGAGTTTCTTTGAAACTCGAAAGAGTTGAGTCGAGGTTGTATTTTACAATTGTTTTGTATAGTTTTTTTCGCAGCTTGGCCTTATGCGAGAACAGTCTGGGAAAGCTTCGAAAGAGCTTGATAAAAACTGAATAAGCGTTTTGCTTCAGATATCGCCGAGCGTAACGTTTTCGTCCATCATATCTATAGCTCAACATTGCTTGTGGTCAGCGAAGGAAGATATTCAAAAGCTAGGGGCGAAAATTTTCAAAGAACTTTTCACCTCTTTACCCAAGCATAGAGAGGTAGGTGTAATATGTATGTACTCACACTTTGTGCAGGATTTATTATGCTCCCAACTACTGTGCACTAGACGTTTACGTCATGTTTTTATGTTTTCTTAAGTGGCTATATTTCAGCTCACTTTGAAGACGATGTTATCTCACACTGTGCAGTCAGAAAGTGAATCCGAGGCGGTTCTTCGCGAGTTTATGGAGCTGATCAACTGGGACCCCGAAGCGATAGAACCTTTCATTGCTATAATATCGGTTTGTTTTTGGTTAGCATGAGAACTGCTACTCGGTTTTGATTCGTGTTTTGCTTCGTGCACTAGACGATGGTCCTCAGTCATCTCTCAAATTTTTAATTCCCTTTTCAGTCTTATTTCTGATTCGAATTCTTCTACTTAATTTCTATCTTTCTATTTGACTTTATTTTGTTAACCTTTTTTGATCAAAACATCTTTTGTGACCATACGTGAAAAATGTGTCTGATTTACTCTGGATATTCACGGTTTTTGTTTCGTTTCAGGAGTATTTCTTCAACCTCAATAGAATGTCCATAGAAAACATCAAGCGATTCTTCCGTGCTATTTTCCGTCTCTACACGACGCGGCCGTCTACCATGTCACAGGTTGCCTTTGCAGTGTTATCTTCAGTGGTGGGAATCCAGTTTGGGGGCGTTGTGTTTTCAATTCTTGAGATGAGATTGAATTCATTTATAACTTTGACAAAACGGTCCTGATCAAGAAATTGGAGATCTTTGTTTCAGCCTAAGGATGGAGGAGCTCCACCCTTATCCAGCATGACCTGAAGACCGCTTTTGTTCATTAACAAAACTCCTACTCATACTGCAGCGTTTAGTAAGATTTACACCTTTCAGAACAACCTGAATGATATGATACCGTTGTTCTTGCGCTCGGCTGACAATGTGGAGCCGATTTTTGGTGTACTTGCGGCAGTGATTAAACTGGAGACGGCGCTCCTCCTTGAAGAGTATGTTTTGTTTCTGAGCAAAGAATTGAGACCTTGCATGTTTTTCATCAATCTGCTTGGGCAATTTGCCCTTTAAGCCAGTGTTTCAATCTCATCAAGTAAGGCTGGTAGTAATCAGCCAAACCCGCTATGCTCAAATTTCAGCTACTGCACATTAGAAGAGGCCTTTGTAGCCTGCAAGCAAAATGCCTTCTAGAGATGATAGTTATTTGAGTTCAGATCTCCGAACAGAGAAACCGATGTCAAGTGCTCTCTGGATTTGCTCGAAGAGGCTCGTAGATCTTCGGCATACGTGAGAACCTGCTGCTATGACGAATTGTCTGAGATGCTGCGAATTTGTTTCGGGTGCTCGAAAAGTTCAACAATGGTTCGTTTTAGTACATCTTCACTTCGCTCACATCAAATAAGAGCGCAGTCAGAATTTGTAGCGGGCATGCGAAACCTGGACTCTTAGTGGTTTTAAAATCGGCCATGTTGTGGGTATCCTTTAATTGTCCTCTTGATTGTTTTCTTTTTTGTTCGCTTCTAAAGTCGTGTTTGTGTATTCGAGCAAATGTATTTTGCTGAGGAAATGATTAAGTTGCCTTTTTAGCTCCATGATTTGCCCATCTTTTCCTTAGCGTTAGTCCCGCGCAGTCGCAGGGTCCGCTGTCATTTGTCAGTCGTCGCCACTTTGCTCTGTCCAGGGCATCTTCTGCTGTGGCCGTGACCTTCACTTAGGTCCTTCTTGATCACGTCTCTTCCACCTCTTCTTTGGGGCTCCTCGCGGTCGCTTGCCTTGTACTTCGAAGTCCATCGCTGTTCTTATCGGATGATCCTGTGGCCTCCTTAGCACATGCCCATACCATCGCAGACGCTGTTCGTACCTTCAGCTGGACAGGGGCAGTCTGCATGACCGCTCTAACATCTTCGTTAACCCAACAGAACAGTCAAGTAAGCATACACTAACATTAAGCAAGTCTAGCACATTGCTCAGAACTCTCTAAAGTATTGGATACATAAACTGGGTTTAAGTGGGGGGTCAATCAATGAACTCGCCTCTCTAGTGAGGGTCTCCCTCTGTAGGCGCTTATTTTCGTGACTCTTTCGTTGACATGCGACTTTGTAGCTCCTCCCCTAGTGGTTCTGTAATGTTTGGCTCAAGAGTCTGGCCTGGCTGGTCTTTTGAAAGCACCCCATGCTGTCGAAACCACTCCTGCATGTGAGAGGCCGATGCTTTGAGTCGCTGCTCTGCTGACAGACAAAGCCAGGTCGTGTGGCAGCCATGTCTACGGATACATAACATCTTCTAGAATCTAAGTCTATACTACGTATTCCTTAGTTCTCAAAGTCTAAGAAGAGCGCTCGCTGTGAAGTGGGTGGGAGTAGAATGTGATTGACTAAGCCTGAAACGAAAGGTTGATACAGGTTTCTAAGGTCATCTGGAATGACAAAAACATATGCGTGCCTGACGCAGTACTTGTTTGTACCGCCCATGGGCGCTTGATCCAAAGAATCAGCTGCCAATTGTGAAACTTGGCGGAGGCTTGATAAGGTTGCCTTGGAAAAAAGTGGGACCACGCTACACGACTGAGGTAGCGATGAAGGCAGACGTTTGCTGTCATGTTTTGGAAGGTGTCATGTATCCGTAGGCGTGGCTGCCGCCCGACCTGACTTTGCCTGTCGGCAGAGCAGCGACTCAAAGCATCGGGCCTCTCACATGCAGGAGTGGTTTCGACAAAAAAAAAAAAAAAAAAAAAAAAAAAAAAAAAAAAAAAAAAAAAAAAAAAAAAAAAAAAAAACCCACCATGGGGCTTTTAAAAGACCAGCCAGGCCAGACTCTTGAGCCAAACATTACAGAACCACTAGGGGAGGAGCTACAAAGTCGCATGTCAATGAAAGAGTCACGAAAATAAGCGGGACTACAGAGAGAGACCCCACTAGAGAGCGAGTTCATTATTGACCCCGCACTTAAACCCAGTTTATGTATCCAATACTTTAGAGAGTTCTGAGCAATGTGCTAGACTTGCTTAATGTTAGTGATGCTTACTTGACTGTTCTGTTGGGTTATACATTATTTAAACAAATAAACGGATCAAGTGATCGTTCACCTGCTTTCATTA